TACAAAAATAAAACACCAGATATAGACCAATTACAAACAATTTAATGTTAAAGTTAAGAAACAAACATAAAAAAATGTAAATTCGTACAACAATGGCAATTGTAGAAAGCCCTTATACAATATGAAGCACTAAACATTGTATAGCATATCAAATTAAGATTAAGATTTTTATTTATGGAGTTGTTTTAAGTCTAAATTTTTGTCATATTTTAGGATTCTCTTTTTCTGTGTACTTATGGAATGATTTTTGTATTTTATTGCACAATAACCCCAGCCTTAAACAATACAAAATGATCTTATATGTTTTTGAAAAAATATGTAAAATGATTTTCAATGTGTTTGAAACTTATCAGTACGTGTCCAAAGTTTATCTGTAACGTGTTCATAGCCATTTATGTATGAGGTCAAGCTTTTTTGACTATGTGCCTATGCCCACTTTTGGGAAACTATATCTGAAAAAAATGACATTTGTATATACAACAATATACATAATTTGCACTTTGATTTAACTTGTTCGTTTGCTCGAATTGTTATTATTTCTGTTTAAATGTCCTACAGATGATGCAAAGAAGACAACACACCTCCTTGAACTTGATGGAGCTAAGGAAAGGCTACATTTGTTTGAAGCAACTTAACGAAGAAAGATCATTTGATGCTGTGGTTGATGGTTGTGAAGGTGTCTTCCACACAGCATCTCCTGTTTTCCTTTCAGCCACTGACCCTCAGGTACATGGAGTGGTAGCCACATCTGTATAACACTTGAGGCAAATCAATTCCTTTGTTACCGTGACTTTCAAACTTCTTTATTCAGATACTGCCATTTCTAACTTATTTTCAATGTGTCATAGTGTATATGAAAGCGTCATTTCATTGTCTTTTACAATTTATATAAAAGCGTAGTTTTAACCCACACTTTTCATTGTAAAAGTGCGTATGACAAAACACACTATTCAAATTTCCAATTGAAATCGTGTTCTGCAAATACGCTTTTAGATCAAAAAGCGTAGGTTAAAACCACACATTGATATTTTGACAATGTTCGATTTGGAAATAAGTTAGAAATCACAGTGTTTGTTGAGAAAAAAGAATTTGAATAATATGCATCTCGACACCACAACCATTGTGACATCATCTGTTTGATACTAATGCAGTGCCTACATTTAGAGTCTTCAAAGTGGTCTTGTTACCACTTGAAATTGTTCTGATTGTTTTAGGTGGCAACACATGTAATGAATAACAGAGTGGAGAGTGGATAAGCATATGACAAGATCAAGGAATAAACTTTAACTCTAAGCCTATAAATTAGAAAGGGTATCAAGACTTTGCCTTGGAATAAGTTAATTTGGAAGCTAATGAAAATAGAAACATGAAGACTAGAGCTTTTTTCTTGAATTTATACTTTATATGCAAATATATATTTGAAAGTAGCGGAGATTCTACTTTCTTGATCTGGCTAGAAATTAGCTCCCTTGTATAAGAAGTGAAAACTAAATCTAATAAAACTGAAGTTCATATGCTTTATTCTTTAGAAGTAATGGGCACTGTATCATTCTCTTCGGTGGTCTTCCTCCCCTGCCCCTCCCCTTCTAGGGGGAGAGCAAGAAGATTTGACGTGGTTGAGCTATACTCTTTGTAGTTATGATTTATCGACTTCGTTCAATGACTCATAGCTATTCTTAGCTTAAAAGGAATGATAGAAATGTGAGAGGTCTACACTCATATCTATTTTATAGTGCCTTGAATTTCACTAGATTGGTTCAATACAGCTTGGTATGCACGGAAGGTTTTTTTCTGATACAATGCCTTAGTGCTATGTGCTTACGTTTACATAATGTTGTTGGCTTTTATTCGCTTCTTATGAAAAATTGTATATAGAATGTCTGCTTATCATTTGCTTACCCTTTACAACATTTCAGGCAGAATTAATTGAGCCTGCTGTGAAGGGAACACTTAATGTTCTGACATCCTGTGCAAAAGTTTCATCTATCAAAAGGGTGGTAGTAACATCTTCAATAGCTTCGGTTAGAAACAATGGAAAACCTATAAACCCTGATGTTGTAGTTGATGAGACTTGGTTCTCAGATCCAGTATTTTGTCAGGAGTCAAAGGTTCGATCGTAAATGTGCTTATGTCTTCAATATTTAAGGAATTAACAACATCCATCGAGTTCACTATTACTCTTGTATTTCGTTCTTTATTGCCACGAGAGATAAGTAGCAGACCTGTCATCCTATGCACGGTGGTGTGGAGTATGCATGGTTTTCTGTTGTTTGTATTTGCTTGTAAATCAATGGGTATACTTGGCATAAGTGTAATTTCTTTCAGTTCATGCAGTCATTACTTACCGAAAAAAAAACATTTAACTGCATCATCTAGTGTTATACGAAGTCCATTAAGATAGTTTTTTTTAGTTTAAGGCCTAAAAGAGATCTTGAAATGTTAATTATTTTAGCATATAGATGGGAAAAGGTCACAAAAGCTGTTTTCTTTCAGAAGAAGTTAGAATTCGGACAGCAAAAACATTAAAGCTTATTTTGTAGTTACCTGTGATGTCATTTAAAAATATAGCTAGAGAGAAGTTAACTTGCTTTAATACCCTTCATTTTTTGCTAATTAAACTTTGGTTCATGTATAAGCTATGGTATATGCTATCAAAAACCTTGGCCGAGGAAGCTGCATGGAAATTTGCAAAACAGAATGGGATTGACTTGGTGACGATACATCCAGGCTATGTGACTGGTCCTCTCTTGCAGCCAACTCTCAATAGCTCTGCTGAGGGGATTCTGAACTTCATAAATCATGGTAAATTTTTCTATAGCAAATGAGGATGATGCATATGATAGTATATTTCTACTTGAAATGTTTTGATTCTTCATCTCAATTGTTACTAGCAACCGTCTAGGTAAAATACTGAGAGTTGTTGTGAACCGGATATGGTGAGTCTTTTCTATATTTCTGACAGGATTGGAAACATTGTATGGGCAATGACATTTAGGAAGAAGGCCCTAATTGATATATGGCTATGGGGTTCTCTTAGAGAGCAATTTATGTTTTACTTAACTAATCAGGTTACGAATAGAATCTAATCTAGTTTGGAAGGAAACTAATCATTCCTTTTCATGGCCGCCAGTACGAGGTTCTTGGAATTGTTTTTCTTCTGACAGTTGGTCATTGATATAGGATTTGGTTCCAGAAAGAATTGTGATGGGGAGAAAATCCTTCTGCAAGTTTTTTCTCTCAATTCATTCTGTCATTTGAAGTTTAAAGGTCAACCATCTTAATTTTTTCTTGTTTGGAAGAAGTCTAAATTCATTATATTCATTGTAAGTTTCAATTATTTTGTGAGACGCAGGAGATGTTATCTTCTTTGAAGTTGCTCATTCTTTCCCCCTTTTTTTTTTTTTGGTTCTAATGACATGCCTATTTCTTGAGGACAATGGCCCCCGAGGATTATTTCGCTTGCTGATTGTGAATTTGTATTATATTCCTTGGCATCATGATAAACTGAATTGGCAGGCTGCTATCAACATTATTCATAATTCAGTTCAACATGATCGAATCAAATATGTTAAAATTAATCGGCACTTCATTAAAGAGAAGTTAAACAAGGCATGATTTGCATGCCTTTTGTGAAGTCAGAATTAGTTAGCCAATATTTTTTACAAAGGGGCTTAGTAGCAAGGTTTTCACCCTATTGTTTGCAAGTTGAGTATGAGAGATATCTATGCACCAACTCGAAAGGGACTGTTACGTTCTGTGTTATTTCTAGAATAAGGGTATTTTAGTATTTTGTGTTTATATATAAAGAGGATATAATTGTGTAACCTAACACACCCTACCCTATTGTGATAATCTTTTCTTTTTCTCTCGCCCTCTCTCTAAACCCTAACAATTTTACAATTTAACCATAAATTATGTTTTGTAGCTTTCAAGCAACATACACATATTTTGTAGAACTCATACAAAACTGAAGTAAAAATTTTGGAGTACAATAATTTCCTTTTGTTTCCACGTTTTTTTAATCATGAGATAATGGCCAAATATTATTTTTCTAGTTTTTTTTTTAATTCCAATGACTGTTGCATTGTTGCATATGCAAATCTCTTTTTCGTTCTTAGGTACATCTATACATGCAATTTTTTTGATACAAGCATTTAAGTTATATATGATTTAGGACAGGAAATGCTCTCTACTGGAATCTATTCATATGTTGATGTTAGAGATGTTGCATATGCACATGTTCAAGCATTGGAGATTGCTTCAGCTAATGGCAGATACTGTTTAGTTGAGACAGTGACATACTCTTCTGAAACTCGGAAGATATTGCACAAGCTTTACCCTACTCTCAACATTCCAAAAAAGTAAGTATTTAGTATTTCAAATGTCCTTAATACTAGATGACTGTGCTAATAATTGAAATAATTAAAGTTGACCACACGTTCAGAAAATGCGCATTATTCAAAACTAAAGTAGGCCACCCAACAATGTAAATTAGACTCATAATTAACTAGAGAACAATTATTATCTCTAATCACCATATGTTTACATGAAAGGGGTTAACTCTAAGCCTTTTTTATTTGAATTTCTATTGAAAATATTGACAAGAAGTACCATGTAATGTCATGCTTAAAATGCATGATTGATTTATTTCTTTCGGTATAGAAAAAAATGGATTTGTGGTACTTTTCCTTTTGATTTGCAATTAACGTTTCAAAAAATATTTATCGTAGTAATCAAAGATATATTGTATATATTATCTTTTGATGTCGACATTATTGCTTTAGCAAAGAAATTTTAATTGAATTTAATACTATTTTTTATGGCAGGTGTAAAAATGAAAAGTTGCTTGTCCCACCATTCCAAGTATCGAAGGAGAAGGCAAAAAGTTTGGGCATCGATTTCCTTCCTCTTGAAGTGAGCCTTAGGGACACCGTAGAAAGTTTAAAGGAGAAGAAATTTCTAAATTTTTGAATAATAATATAATACTGAGCAGAGCAATGCAAGTGCATAAGACGTTGTGTTTTTCAAGGTTTTATGTTGTAAAATTTGCCACAATGATATGCAACAAGTTGGAATATGTTTTGGTTTGTGCTTTTCATTTCTTTGCCTTAATATTGTATCTATGCAAAATCCTTCACATGGCACCTTCTCCTAAAAGATTTTAAGATTTTTGTTTTCCCCTCCCCTTATTAGTTAAATGCCTCAGAATGCATACTGAATTTTTTTTTAAAATTAACTTTTAAAATCTAAAGTGACGTTATAATGCATTTGCAGACCGAAAACTAATTGCCACCTAGCAGTTGTGGCATAATGCTATACTCTTGAAATTATAGTTCTGAATATTTATGTCTCTCAATTATTAATTCGAGTGCATGGTAACTTGAACTATTTATATTTATGACAGGGTTATTCAAAATCGGTACTATTTTGAATTTAAAAGGGCCCACATCTCAAAAGTGTTGGAATTAAATTTAACAATTACGAGAGAAATAAAATCAGAATCACATTTTGAGAGACAAATTATAATCAATCTCGAGGCCACCCCCGAACTACTCCAATGAAACCCTCCTATAATGAACTCACACCTAAAATAAATTGAGGGTTCCTTGAAAGTCGGTATACCTAATTAAACTTATTTGACAAAAAATACATAGAACAAAATATTTTGAAAAAAAATACACAACTGAGATACAAAGACGTAAATGCCCATTTTATGGTCATTTAATTCAAAATCTCTTATCTTTAATGCACCTTGATTCATGTGTGTTTGTTAAATGCACATTGATTCATGTGTGTCGTTAATACATATAAATAGGTATATGTGTGTGTGTATATATATATTATTTCAAATTATATTTAATGCAGCTTGATTCATGCATTTTTTTTTTTGAAAAGTGGTTTTAATTTTAAATTAATTTAATATCCATAACAATAACAGTGTAACAAAAATAATGTAACAATAACAATATAACAAAAACAGTGTTCAGTAGTTTTGTGCATGTGGTAACAAATTAAAAACGGATATGGATTATTTTAAATGAAATTATATGAAACTATATATTTAACAAAATGTAATAATACAATATTTTGTGTAAATAATTTATTACACTGTTATTGTTACACTATTACACTATTCAGATATTAAATTAATTTAAAAATAAAATCACTTTAAAAAAAACACATGAATTAAGGTGCATTAAATATAATTTGAAAACGAAATCACTTTAAAAAAAATATATGAATAAGGTATTAAAGATAATATATATTTAGATAATATATATATATATATATAAACTAGGAGATGTTTAATGCACTATTTTTCAAAGAAAAAACACATAGATTAATAAAAGGTAAAAATGTCACAAAAAAATAAATAAAATTTAAATAATGTACTTAGATACAAATAAGTATCAAAATTAAGGACTTAATTATGCAACATTTTTTTGTGTGTACTTTTTTACAATTAAGTCTAATTTGGTGTACCTGCTTCCAATTTTCCCATAAATTTACGTCCACTAGCCAACACCCATCCAGAGAGAGAGAGAGATCCGTGTATGTATATACATACACACACGCATGACTAGATCCAATAGATGTCGCATCGTGGTTGACTGAATCGATCTTTGCTGCGTATTTATGGTTATTTGTTTTTTAGATCAAATGATACATGAATTTGTTGGGCTTTGCTTGTTTGATGATGGGGCATAGGAGACAGTCAGAGATGAGGTAGGGCTTGGGAGTTTGCCTATGCTAGTATGGGAGAGGCTGTTGGAGGTGGGTTTTGGTTTTGGGGTGCTGTCAGCATTGGGTATGGGGTGGGGGACCACTGGAGTAGGGGAAAGGGATTTGGGGGCATCGTTGGAGCTGCGGGTGGGGGATTGTCGGAGCAAGAGGTGGGTGTTGGGGGCACCGTCAAAGTAGGGGAAGCGGTTGGAGGCATCACTGGAGCTGGGAAAGGGGTTGGATTCAACGAGAAGATGTTGGGGGTATTTTAGCAATTTTGTATTTTCCATCCACTGTCTCAGTTAATTTAAGTCTAAAAAAAATTTAAGAGTCCATTTGGTATGGAGGATGAAAAATTAGAAGGAATATATTTTTCCTCATTATGTTTGATATGATGGAGGAAAATTGAAGGGATATATTTTTTTTTGGGTTCGTTTGTTTAGCTGGAGAATGATAGAAAATTCAAGAAAAATAAATTTTTTAAAATTTTCATGTGTTTAGTTAGTATGAAAAGAAAAATGATGGAAAAAATAATTTTCCTACATTCTTGAATTTTCTTACAAATAACCAAATTTTTTTTCTTACCAAAAATGCAAGAAAGTTATATTCTATAACTAACTTCCTACTTTACCCTTAATTTTCTTAAAATATTTTATTGGTTATTAATTTTAAAAAAATTTGGTATGAATTTGATTAATCATATAATTTGGACGAAAAGACATTTGTATTAGTGATTGTCTTAAGATTAAGTTTCGAGCCATTTTTTAGGAATTTTTTAACTTTCAATTATAATTACTTATTTTTTCCTTTTAAAACCGATTTAATATAATTAAGAATAATTTAGACAATTATAAAAAAATTCTTATAACTTTTCTTTCTTTTAAACAATAGAATGAAATTTTTCTGTAAATTTTTTATTCTAACTAAATACATGTATGAAAATATATTTTCTATCAGTTTCTTTTCTTTCACTTTACTTTTTATCATTATCACTTTCCATCATTTTTTTCTTCCTAATCAAACAAACCCAAAATTGGATGGAAAGGGAAAATATATATATCAAATTTACCATTATACCCTCACATCTAATTACATGAATAAGATTAAAGAAAATAAACCAAAATGCATGATTTTTTTTATAAGTATATAATATTTAAACCCCCTAAAGTTTATAAGTATATAATATTTAGACCCTTTTTAAGTTTAAAATATTATATTTAGACAAAAAATACTCTAATCAAACATGAAATATTAAATATTTTAAATTTTACAACCAAAATTCATGTTCTATTGTATCATTTATTGAAATAAAATTTACTTATAAAGAAATTCTTAATTTGATTATTTAATGTGTATCCAACTAGGGATTATATGTATTTTTTTCATTGCGTACATTTAATTATTAAATCTTCCATTACATATACAAAAGCAAACTTAATAAGTTAAGTTCTAATTATATTATGCGGTAAATACTAAAAATTATATAATTAAAGAGAGTGGTGGGTAAAATAGTAAATTCTCAAAAAAAAAACTCATCTTCCCTCCATTTTCAATCCATTTTTCACCCATTTTTGGGGGGAAAATGTTTTGTGGGCTCAAGGGAAAGCATTTCCATTCCATTTTTCATTCTCTCTCATTTTCCCTCCATACCAAACAATGAAAAGATTTTTCTTCCATCCCATTTTTCTTCCTTCATTTTTCATCCTTCCTATTGTCCCTCCAACCAAACAGGGGGTAAGAGACCAAATTATCGAATTTGAAATCAGAGAGAGTCAATCACAATATTATCCAAACTTGGAGGGGACATTTTATAATTAACACTAAAACATAATAAACATTACAAATAGAGATAGAAGAGCTTAACTATATCAATTTGTGTCATGTCGTGGTATTTGTGTTGAATATTTTTATGTCGGGTCATTTTTATTTGTGTCATGTTTATGGTAGGACCCACGAAAAAAATTAATTAGTGTATTCTAAGTATCAAATGCTAATATAAATCTTTTATTATACACCTTTAATAATCGTTTCAATTTTAAAAATATGTTAATATTGAGTTTATATCGACGAGTGAGAGTTAATAACGCTAAAAGAAGTACACTCATTGAACAAAGAAGACTTTAGACCATGCTCATTATTCTCACACTTTGCACTCAACTCAGGTATCCAATTATGTTCTCTACTCTCGCAATGTCCTCTTTTTATATTGAAGGATGATAAATCGATGCATTACTCAATAAATATTTCATTGAACATGTCTTACTTTTTATTTATTCTTAGAGTACAATCAATTTTTTTTTGCTTTTGCTTAATTATTCTATGGATTAGTAAATATAAATTAAGGCATTAATATCAATTATAATTGTAGTACTAATCAACTTTCTAATTCAAATCTGTAAACTCCAAAAAATAAAAGGAATCATAAATAAACATTACTATTATCTTATTAAATTAAATGACACGGCACAAACCTACACACATGAATCCAATGGGTTAGTGTTAAAATTTTTCCACTTTCCTTGGTTAAGAATACTGGGTACCCAATTTTTAATTTCTTTTAATTTGGAGCTTTTCAAAAAGATAACATGAGACCTTCCTTTTCCCAATCACTACATATTAAATGTCAAACCCCACATATTACATTGTCATTGCTTACGTCACAATGATCAAGCTGTTAGAAACATCAGAAAAATAGTGATGAAATGTTATGATCGATAATGCATATTCTTAATAATTGTAATTTCACCTTTAAAAAATATAATTTATCCTAAAAAAATAATAACCTTTAGAAGTTGTAACTTCTATGATCAATCATGTCTTTTCCAGTTATAATTTTTATCTCAAAAAATTATAAATTCCAATACTTTATTAAAATTGATACCGTAGTCATCCTTTTTTTTTTTGTTTTGTTCCTTGAAAATGGATATGCAAATAGACCACTTCACATATTCACCAGTGAGTATTGTCCCTCAGTACCACACAACTATCTGTAGAAGACCTCATCCCACCTACGTCAGGACAAAAGTTAAGGTCTCATCATGTGCTATGAGCGATGAAAAGTAAGTTTAATTCCAACGAGTTATCATAACTATTAAAACTCGAACCTAAGTAGTAAGCGAGAAAATCCGAAATGGTGTAGTCTTCCTCTAGTGATCATATTACCTCCATTGTCTTGCCAATATAAATTTAGTTGGGGAAAACATCAATAACTTCTCCGTCGAAAAATAAGTCGGTCCTATCAAATTTGTAATTGAACAGTGAAGTCATTTTTTTTTCTTTTTAATAATTAGACCCAAAGAAGTTCTAATTCTTAACATATTCCACTTTCACCCTTTTTAGTGTTAATTAAAAAACTGTCATTGTTCTCTCTTACACTCAAAGGGATGGTTTTTTCCCCTTTTGCCATTGAACCTAAGTCGTTTTTATGTTTTTTTTTTTCTAATTTTTTTTTTGTTTGAATTGGATCATATCCAATTTGTCCTTGAAACTCATTTAGTAAATATGTCAACAAGGATTCATTTTCACATTATGTTTTTCTATTTCAATTATCCAATCATCATGTTATTAATTTAGTTGGTCCCTAAATTTTATCTCGAATTTTAATTTAGTCCATAAACTTTCAATTTTCTTAATTAAGTCTTTTCGTTTATTTTCACCGTTAGATCAAAATGAAAATATCTGATTTATGCTTGAATTGATTAAAATAGGCTAGTTTCAAATAAAATAAATGGAATGACTTAATTAAGTCAAACTTAATAATTGAAGGACTAAATTGAAATAATTAAATATTCAAGGACCAAATTAGAACCTGAGATAAAGTTTAAAGACTAATTATATTATTTACCCCTAATTAATTGTTTATGAATGTAAAGAATCTTTATTTGGGTAAGTGAATATAATGAATTTTATAAAATAAATTGTTCCAATTTTCAAAGAAGTCCAGCGAGGCTGGCGTATCCGCTTACCAAATTCGCAGGTCCATGAAGACCATAAGTTGTCATGATCATATATTATGGCTATCTTAATTTAATTTGCGTTTATTTTAATTTAACAGTATAAAATTTATTATAATTTTTTTTACTCACATTTTATCTTTTCTATATGACTTTTAATGTCAAATAATTCAACTAACCCACTTTTTTTTTTTTTTTGGTTCAATGTTTAAGAGTGTTCGAGCTAATTTACGTACAACTCGACTAATCCTCTCTCCCATTTCAGTTAAAGTTAGATCATCCTGACTGAGACTAGAGTATTCGAGAGGGAATAAATCCGTCACATGGTTTGACTCTAAGTGATTGTCGAGATGCGAATTCAAGTTATGTAATTTTACAACTCGTCTCTATCACCCTTTTAGTTATTCATTAGGGTTACTAGCACACATTTTAGTATAAAAAAATCTCATTAATTAACATATCTCTCTCTTCTATTCGTCTTTTGTTTTTTCCACCTAAACTTTAAATTTAGATATATAATTAAGGAAAAATTTCAGTTACACTTTTATTAGTTTATTATATCTTCAAGAACACCCTTTCTATTATCCAAAACATTACTGATATTCCTTCTAGTTTATATTTAAACATTACTGACACTCCCTGTCTTTAAGCCACAGTTTTTAACAAAAAAAATTCATCTAAAATACAAAAAATTACCCCTACATAAACCTATACAATTTTTTTTATATAAAAGTTGATTAAAATTTAGGTCAATTAAAATTTATTTTTCTATATATTAAAATTAGAGTTGATTAAAATTTATTTTTTTTCATATTAAAATTTGATTTGAACTAATTAAATTTTATTTTTTTTACATATTAAAAAGCGAGCCAATTAAATTTTTTTTAAGTATTAAATTCGAATCGATTTGAGCTCTACCTGAGTTGATATCGCTTATTAAAATTCGATTTAAATAGATTAAAATTTATATTTTTTTATTCATTAAAATCCATGTTAATAAAAATAAATTTTAATCGGCTCAAATTTTAATATGTGAAAAAATATAATTTTTAATCAACTCAAATTTTAATACGTAAAAAATGAATTTTAATACATAAAAAAATTGAAAAAAATAGAGAAAGTCTTATTGAAAATATACATATCTAGAGGAGGTGTAGATGTGATTTTTCCTAAAATATATCATAGACAATTTAATAAAATTATATTGTAATTAACATCTTTAATCTGATGGAGTGTCAATGAAGATTTAAAAAATAAAAGGGATATCCTTGAAGATATGGTAAACTAGAAAGAGTGTGATTAAAATTTTTTCTATAATT